ATCTAGATTCTTACATTCTGGGAGTATGCCACCCCTAATACATCATGTTGCAATTATGGCCGGGCACCCGACGGAGGTGACTCAAATCTTTGCAGACCAACCGAGCCCGAAACTGCTAAAGTAACTAAATAGTCGGCCACGAAATTCGCCTCCCGATAAACATGGTCAAGTTCTACGATCCAATCACGATGTAGTAATTCCCGAATTCCACTTACAATTTTCGAATGAATCCCTAAAACTTCCTCGTCACTCTTCACCAACAGCACAACACTTGAGCTATCCACTTCCGCCTTCACCTTCTTATAACCAAGGTCCCATGCTAGTACTTGAAATAAACCCCAAAACTCCGCACCAGTGATGGTACAAAACTCGACCTTCATCATAAAACCCCCCAACCATCTACCATGACAGTCACGAACAACCCCTCCCGCACAACCAACTCCTACGGATTGATCAAAGCTGCCGTCAGAATTCACCTTCACCCAGTCACCCGGCGGCGGGAGCCAGTGAATCCACCTTTCCTCTCATCCGACACAAGCTCCATTCATGGATTTCTCATACTTAGAAGTTTGTTTAATTCCCCCGACTACCTTCATAATCCCCGTCACGCGATGTATTTCACCACCGTCCACCCCTTCAAAAATTCGCCGATGCCGCCAGCATCATAGTCGCCAAGTTGTTATCCAAAAAACAATCCCAATCCTCAGAAAAACCTTCAAATTTCCTATTAAAGTTATGCCAGAACCATTCCTCCAGTTGCAAGGTGAAGAAAATTTGTCAATGCGAGATTTTGGTAGCAAATAAAATGAAGAAGGACTAGAATAATGCATGAGCAGCAAAATGTAGGTAAAACTCTGGCTAATTGGAGATTAACACATAGGTGAGACATGAAAATAAGTTGTTTGGAGGATGGCGGCGAAAAGGAAAGAAAAGATAAAAGAGTAAACAAAAGGATGTAAAGGCTTTAGGATACTATAGACATAGCTCTCACATCCATCTAGTTAAAACTGTTCAAAATTGTTATACACTTTATAAGGTTTAAAAGTAATTGAACAGTACGTAAATGATGCGAATTTCGTAAGAAAATTAAAAGGAAAAAAATAATCTGGAAAAACCAGTCTAAGTTTGAAAGCACAAATTTATAAATTATTGGATAACTTAATACTTCAAATTGAAAAAACTTCAAGAAAATTTGAATAGAAAATCATGTTTACTCATTAATTTTAAAATTGTGGAAGATATGAATCTCGTAACTATAATTTAAGCTTCACATTCCCAAAATTGAATGACTGTTAACATTACGATTATTCAATTGTACGATGGGGGTGGAGTGTTCTTTTATATATACTAGTCAGATTCTACGCGCTTCGCTCGTGCCCGATGTACAACATAATTTAATATAACATAATTTAATGAGTGTGCATACAATACACAAAATACAAAAATAAATTATATGAAAATTCTTCACATTTGTAAATCATACTCGACATTTTTAATTGTATGAACAAAATTTAAAAGATATTAATCTTTTACGCACTTGATCATGAAATTCAACCATCAATTCATACACATGTATAGTATTTTGAAATAATCAAATGTCATCATTTTATTTTTCTTTTTCTTCATAAGTTACTCTTAGATATACCACCAAAATTTTATTCAAACTCAGTCTTTATATTATACGAGATGGAATAAACGCGCTCATACATTAGTCATAATAAAATATATAGTGAAAAATATTCTTCACAATTTTTTGTAAATACAAATACCATTCTAACTTTAGAAAAAAAAAAACACACACACATATAAAGTGAACAATACATATACTGTTGTAAATATTTTTCTTTATGTTAATAAAATCAGGAAAATACCTTCCAAGTACCACCCTGGAATCTGCTAAAAAAAAAAAGTAAACAACATATTCCAATTAATTTTCTACATAACAACTCCCCCGCCCCCACCTCTCTCCCAAAAGAAAAGAAAAAAAAATCGAAACTGGAAGTTTCACAAGAAATGAGTAAAAACAATGAGTAGAAATCACCTTCAACGAGATTGGAATGGAAAGTTCATCGAGCGTAGAGACAAACAACTGATAGGAGGGGGGGAAGGGGCGGAAATAGATGTGATCAATTTCTTATTTTTAAGAACCTAATTATATATATTGACAAATTTAAAATGCAAGACTCGTAGAATTCTATCTGAGCTATTGAATAATCTTTCTAATTCTCATTAATGAAATCTTAAATTCAACGAAGAGAATAAGGAAAGACACATAAAAAAAAATTTTAAAACTACAAAAATCCTTGAAACTATGGGGATCAATATTCAACTAATAATGGACATTAATTTATTTATAATCTTTAAATTAAAACTAAAACAAAAATTAATGGAAGGATATCAAAGGTTAAAACATTAAAGAAACACCAAATGTAACACATAACATCTCTTTAAATTAAAAATAAAAGGAAAAACTAATGGAAAAGATCAAAGGCAGAATATTAAAGGAATACAAATGCAACACAAAGTCTTTTCACTTTCTTGATTGAAAAAAAAAAAGAGAAAAAAACCCATAATTAACATTTAAAAAGGACTACCAAACTCAAATCTATATTCGGCAATTATAATATATGTTGAATAATAATATATGTTGATAAAAAAATCAAAAAAAAAATCGTGGAGGCATGAAAATTGAAAAACATATGATGCTTGGATTTTCACTGCATTTGCATGCATTTATTTGTAGGACTACTCATCCAAGGAAAAAGGAGATTAATAAAAACTCAAAACATTTTTTTCCGGTTTAGTTAATAAACGCCTCAAATTTGCTATGGACACAAAAGTTTCCTTCAAATGCGAACATGAGTAAAAATACAATCGTGCCTGAAACACAAGGAAGCTTATAAAAAGCGTTTCAAAATTAAAGCCACAGAGGCAGACGACTGCCTTATACTTCTTCACAGGACCAGAACTTGAAATCGAAACCCGGATTTCGTTGTAATACACGAACGTCCACTAAGCCAAGAGCAAACTGAGAAAGTTAAAGGGCATTTCTGCAACAAACAAACAAAAAGCGCTTCCTTTCTTTCTATCCCTCAGTAGTGAGAGGCTGTTAGATTGATTGGAGGAGAAGAAATAACACTGAGGTGTGGTGGCAATTGGAGAAGATTAGATGGCCAGAGGTTGTTGTGGAGTAGCGACAGAAAGGCCAAATGTTGTTCTTTCCTTCTCTTTTCTCTATGGATCCAAAAAAATGCAACTTAATAATCACTTTCTTAAAGAATGGGTGCCCAACTTTCCAACACAAAAGATCAACATTTCTTCTCGGTATTTTACCATTCCAAAAATTAGATCGATGTCACTATTAATAATTATCATAAAAAAGTTTTATCTCATTTTCACTTGTCATGGGATGTTTTATAGTTATGAACGTTCTTTTTTTAAAAATAAATAAATAAATAAATTATAAGATGATGATCATATTTTAAAAACTATCCAGTGTCCACCCAAACTCTTTTTTATGGGGGCAACATACTACTACCAAATACTATTTTGTTTGTAAGAAAGCTTTAGAAATATCTTAAGAGTCATTGAATTCATGTTGCTTCATTATATTTGCACAAATGACCACACAGCTTAGTAGGTTTTCGAATCTTTCAACCCCATTAGAGTGGAGTCAGGTTAGCTTTTGATCATTTTGTTGGACAAATTCTTCCTTATTTGTCAAAGAAATCGGGCAAAGGAACCAAACAAAGTGACGAAAAGCAATCAAAACAACTTCTTCTAAATGCATTTTTCCAATCCAATTCAAATGTTTGATGGTAATTATTAGAACTGACTGATCAATTAAGTGTTTAAAGACTTTGTTTGTTTTAATTTTTAGATGGTTTTTTTCAATTATTATATTATTAACTGTCTCATCCCAACATACCTTTTTACATTTCTAATACATCTTTTTACATTTTCAATACAAAAAACACTTAAAAACACACACTAAAAAAACGAAACAAACATACCCAAGATTATCCTTTAACTCCTGGTTGTTAGTAGAGGGGAAAACGAGAGAATACAGGCCTAGGATATTGACTAAGCATTTCATTTCACCAGTGCCCTTGTATTAACAAATAAAAGTACCCTCAACAGCAGTTATCTCCACCTAGAAAGGAGCAACTCAGTACTTTCACCTCTCCAGATAACAAACTAGCATTTAAACAAAAATGTGACAGCTTCTTCAAAAAAAAAAAAAAAGGTGGCTGAGATGTCATCAATCTAGCAGAAGCGCAAATTTCTACGGCTCTTTGGCATGGGTTGGATCCAAAAGATTGTTTGGTTCCTCAATGATGTAAAATCCACAAAAAGTCAACAAGAAAATAAAATGAAATGTCAACAGCCTCCACCATCTGAACGCTTTAAGCAGACTGCAAAAGGAAATGGCTAGACTTCAAAGGCCATTAAGATTCAATGCAACAGCCAAAAGGGTGGGAAAGAAAAAGAAATTATTCTACCTGTTTGTTCTGCTTATGAAGGATAACATGAGCTGTACTTAGAGAAGCAAGTAATCAAACAAAATGCCGTACAAAATTTGAATAGCGTATTTAAGCCTCAGAGGAGCACACCGCACAAATACCTTTTGGAATGATCTCCTGACAGCGCACTTGCACATGGAGAATGCATCATCCGAGAAAAGCACTTAAATGAAGTTGTCAGAATACCAGAAACAAATCGTGCAAATAAGACAAACCAAAAACAAAAATAATAATAGTAAACAAAATAGGGAGCGGATGCCCAGAGAAGAGGAAAGACCAGTTCTATTGATACCGTGCAAATAGAATACAATCCCACTTAGAAGAAAATCCAAGTATGTTAACCAAGAATACCAACGCGGCACAACTCGGCGAAGAAGCAGCTACACATGCAAAACTGCCATTCAGCTTTGTAACATAAAAAGATATCTAATGAAATGTTACTATTTCACCTTTTCAAGCTATGGCAAGGAAAGAAGCTCATCTCTTTCTTCCACCACGTTCTCTAAGAGAAAGGGCAAGTGTCTCCCCAGGTGCAACATTATAGTATGCAAGTGACAAATTGTCTTTGAGAAAGCCAGCCTTCCCACTCAACTTCTGTTTGTTTGCAGGAAGTTGTATCTCTCCGGCAATCTTTTCTTTCAGGCTGCTGATGGTTTCAGAGAGCGATTGCATAGTGATCTCCAGGACCTGTCCCTTCATACTACCTTCATCATGATTGGGCACAGAGACGTTGATACGAGCAGGTCCCTAAAATGAAGCGACAGTTTCAAGTTAAACATAATTCGTAAGTTTTATTTAACACGAAGATATTAAAAATTGCTGAAGAGGACGAAGTAAATGATTACATACCGGATACTGAGCCAAAAATTGATCTTCCGGGACGAGAGCAGAATCTTCAAGTTTTTGTCGTTTTGGCTCTGGCTCTTCAGGAAGCGGCGGAGGGGCGTCCTCGGGTGGAGGCGGCGGGGGTATTCCCTGATGCATGTGAGGTTGTAGACCCATATGCATGCCAGCCTGTGAAATTGGCACGGGAACAAAAGGCCGGGGACCCAAAGGTGTAAATTGTGACCCAGGTACAGGTGGATTCATGGGCATGTTCACAGGCATTGGAGGTCGATTAACCATAAGATGCTGCTGTCCAGGGATTATGTTCATCGGAAGGGGAGGTCGAACAGAAGGAATCATGTTCACAACTGGAGGCCTTGGTTGAGGTGGAGCAATGACACCAGTATTAGTTTGGTTTGGATACTGAACACCAACTGGAGGTCTAGGGATATTCACACCGACTCCAATTGGTAGAGGAAGTGGTCGAATTGATGGAATCGGAGGCCTAGGTTGAGGAGGAGCTGCAGGACCAGGAAGATTCCTATCCATATTAACTTCGTTCAGATCTTCTCCTGCAGTCTGTGACAAGGCCTGACTTGCTGTGCGGCCAATGCTTCCTGTGTGACCATCCCATATGACTTGCTTTGGTTGATCATCTTTTTTCTTTTCAATCTCTGCTTTGACAGCATTTGAGACTTCCTCTTCTGTGGTACCAAAAATATCTGGCCTTGTCCGAGCAAGTCCAACAATATTCTTTGTGATCTCGTCATCTGGGGCAAGAGTCGTGTCCCTAATCTTCGCAAACATCCTTTCTTTCTGCTCTTTATATTTTGGATCAATCAGAGAAATCCTGATATGTTCAGACATCTCATTGATGGGAATTAGTTCACCGGTAATGGGAGAGATAACAACTTTAGTAGGATCTCTTTCAGCAGGTAATCTATCCTCAGGCCTCTTCCAATTTTTCACAATTCTCATCGGTGGTTCGTTTTCTTCCACTGACATCATATTAGCGTCATTATTTCTCATGAAGCCATTCTCTTCAAGATTAGCAGCCCTCATACCCTCCTCCACAAGTTGCACCTCCTCTTCATCCATCTCCATTTCTATTTCCTTACCAGGCTCCAAAATCTCTACTTCTTCTGCAGTAGTTGACATCTTGCTCCTTCGAATAACCTCCTCAAGGGTCATTGGAGGCGGTAAATCTTCATCCTCATCATCTAAAAAATCTATGGTCTCCACTACAACGAAGTCATGCCAATCGATCGCGGCCATCTGCATCCGCTCCTGCTCAATCTCATCTTCAGCTTTCTGCCTTGCCTGTTCCTGAGAACGTTCCCACTCCAAACGATGAAGACAACGTTCAAGCACTGTGGTCAAGTCAGTCACACTGTTTCTTAGCTTATCAGTCAAACCCTTTGGAGGCTGCAATACTTTTGAATAAGCATCTGCAAGAGATGTGAAAAACATAAACATGCTATGAGTTGGTTTCAAAAAGTGGAATTGAGGATTGGTGAGCTCCCTGCTAGCCAGCCCAGTCAAAAATGATTTTCCATTCCTAGCTACAAACTGGGCAGTGAGTTTAATTATGTCCAACTCCTCTCCTGTAATACCCTCAGGAAGGCGAACAGTATATTGCTCCGCCTCAGGTGGTTCAAGAACCCTACGAACAGGCCTGAATGGAGCTGAGGGGTCTGGTTTAGCAGCTGCATCTGTGCCATCAGCCACTGGGGCAGGGGGAGCTGCAGACTCAGGTGCTGCTGAATCTGTAGAGTCAGATGGCTGTTGAGCAGGAGCCGAATTCTGTGCACGAGCTTCAGACAAGCGATGCTGATAATAGGCATGATACGGATCAGTGGGATTCAGGAAATTAAATTTGGCATTTCCAGCATTGCTAGCAATGATCCTCTTCTCGAATTCAGGGCCATTCTTTGCCACAAACTGTGAAGTTTTATCGACAATATTTCTGATATCTGGAGGAGGATAAATAATGCCAATAGTTCTGGTATGAGTTGCAACTGTGACAGGAACTGCCACAGGAGCTGGTTCAGGTTCCTCTTGTGCTGCTACAGGCAGATTTCCATTATTACCATTCCCCTCCCAATCAGGGGGCGGAGCTGCTAGAGGCAATATAGGCTGGTCGCTCAGCATTGTTTATCTATACAAAAGAAACACATTCAAAAACCAATTAGATCAAATCAAAAGCAGACAAAAAAAACGGTGCAATAATCTTTAACAGTAATCTCTTCCATTAGATAGAAGCTTAATCGAACTTAATCAGGGGAAACAGTCGGTCACCCAAAAAATTCAGAACAAGAAAAACCTCAATTTGGGCAACCTTTGTAATCTAATTCAGCAAAATGAAAAAAACCTTTAAACCAACTACAGGAGTTAACCCAGTAAAATTCCACCGGTTTCAACAAACCTACAGGGGGACTCCAACATAGAAACCGGGAACAATCCCAAATGCCTTTCACAATAAACCTATCAAAATTTCTAACCACGGAAGTGAATCAACTGGATCATAATCCGATTAAATGAATTAGGCGGGCACATAACCGCCCTTCAGAAACCCTAACGTACTAAACAAAAATCAAAACGAACTACATCAAACGCAGAAAACAGGGCATAAACGTACCCAAAATTCCCTAATTAACGAACGAGGAATTACCCTAACAACAAGGAACTGAGTCCAATGATACCAAAGGATAATCGACGGAATCAAAAAGAAAAAGTACCTTCTCTTTCCCGACGCGCACCAGGATTTGTCTTCTTTACTTGTTTCGTATTTACTTCAATGTTCAGTGCAATAACAAAACTCGGCTCATGAAAGAATAACACGGGGTGGTTTGCAGCGGCGAATTCCGGGGGAAGAGGTAACGACGCCGATTAGATTCGGGATTTAGGGTTTAAATAAATGATAATAATCCCTCCCAATCCTAACCGCCGACTCTCTAGCAGTAAATATTTGGGAAAAAGGTCACAAAGTCAAATATAATGTTATTTTTACCCTTTATATTTCGTTTTCTGAGTCCCACTCCCAATGTCAGTAATCCGTATACAGTAAGTATTAGTATTTCATTTCATTAACAAATTTTCAGGAAAGAAAAAATACCCCAAAAGCTGTAAAGTGAAATTAGGACAAAAAGGAATATAAAAATATAATTTTTTAGTGATAATTTTTGTGAGTTGCTAAATGCAAATTGATTTTACTTCGCGCAGCTTGTACAATAGACTAAGATATTCCTGAACCTTAAACTCTCCCAAATTCTTTTGCACGATCATTTTTTTAGAACTTCTCACAAGTTCTTCCATTATATTGTCAAAAAATCATTGATTCTTGATGGTTTGCAATGGCGGAAAATCAAATAACACGAAAAAACAAGATAAAATAAAACTGGCTTCTCAACATGTAATTTTTTTGCAAAGTTCACTTTCTTATTAGTGTGATCACCATTGCCATTTTCTGACGGATTTTTTTTTACAAGGAGAAATAATTAGTGATCGTGCTTTTTTTTTATTAGTGATCGTGCTTTTTTTATGTCATTTATGTGTCTTGATTTTGTTTTCTGTAGCTTGATTTTACTTTGTGCAGTTTGATTTTATTTCGTGTATCTTTATTTTATTTATTGCAACTTAATTTTACTTTGTGCAGCTTCATAGAGGTATTTTAGTCTATTTAATAAGTTGCGCAAAGTGAATTCAAGCTGCACTTAGCAACATCCTAATTTTTTTTAGAAAAAAAAAATCATGTTCTTTTCTTATCTTACACCAATAGTAAAGAAGATAAAAACAGAAGTACACAATTTACACAAACGAAAAAATGCAACTAGATAGTAGTGATAATCCCCTATTGCAATTTAAGACTTGTTGGCTAATTGAAGGATCTTTATTAAAAATTACTTCTTTTTTTAATTCAAGGCGAGAGAGGAAAGGACATTGCATTTTTACACATCATAGGAGATTAGTCGCAGTGGTTTTTAATGCTGTTACTATATGAAGTTTTTAACACCCTCACACTGTTAGGATGCGATTCATAAAAGTTCAACACACAAGAATGAGAAGGCAGTGAAAAACATCCTCGTCTTAGAAGATTATGCAACATTTCATAGTATGGGAAAATGATGTTCCTGCCAAAGGCAAAATTCGTTTGAGAAACAATACTACTATATTAGCGAACTTTTGCATCAATCATTTTAGGACTGAAGAGTACATCAGAACCAAACAAAACCTCCACTTGAAGACCGCAGATATGTGTGTGTTGGACAGGCCATCAAGTGCATTCTTTGCTTCTTCCAGTGTAAAGTACTCCACTAAACCAAACCTCAATGGTTCACATATCTCACAGGCCAACTCAAGTTGACCTGCTTAGTAAGTAGACAAGATGTTCCCATGTAATTAGAATGGGAAATTTATCCCATCAAGTATAAAGGAAAGGCAGGCAGCCTATTAAATTTTGACAATACAATATACATAACAAAACACATTGGTAACTAGTGGAATTATTTCACCACCATTGCTTTGTTTCCCATCTATACACAAGAACAAGGAAGGTGAACAACCAAGCAGATTCACAAGTCAAGTTGGAAGTCTGCGTTTCCAATTAGACTTTTCTGCCACTTTCCCCTTTGGGAGTTGCAGGAACTAGGTGACAGCTACTTAACTGCTAGATAATGTAACCTCATGGACTCATCTCTGATAAATTGCCCATTTTAACGTACCAATGCTAGTAAAATAAGAATAACATCAACAGAAAATGTTTCCGCACCTCTCAACTTCATGAAAAACATGGCAATCATTGATGATTACCAGGCCGAAGGGACTAGAATGTCTAAGACCTTTCTCTGTTGCCTCAAAAGCTACATTTCTGACTATTAACTCACTGTGTAAAGCTACTCTAGGGAAAAATTTGCGACAGCAACATAAAACGAGTTTCAAGTGAGTACAATTTTTCAAAGCCAATGCTAAGGCCGTTATGCTCTAGTCTAGTGGACATCTCTCTTTCTATGTGGCACAGAAACAGGGACAACAAGAATGACGAAAGTGTTTCCGGAACACAGCAGCGTGCCTGGATCAAACCCTAGCTTCAATTGTAGAAAGAGAGGGCTAACTTATACTGCTGCCTCTACTGCTTGGCTTTCTGTGGTTTCCTCTTGTAACTCTTTAACTGCCCTGACAAGACATTTTGTTTTCTCATTTGGATGCAATCCCATCTCCACCATCTCTTCCAGTAGCTTTGTTGCTGTTTTCCAATCTAAATCCTTCATGCAAACAGATTTAATCAGCTTATTATACTCATCAGCATTAGGGCGAACACCAGATTTCTTCATATCCTCCAACAACCCCAAGGCTCTGTCAAATTGTTCTAGCTTGCAGAACCCTCGAATCATCGAATGGTAAGTGACAGAACTTAGCTTGGAATGCTTCTTTTTGGCTTCATGAAAGACTTCACAAGCCACCTCCATTTCACCACCCTCTACATAACCACTGATAATGACTGTGTAGCTGTAAACATCAGGTTTTAGGCCCCTATCTTCCATGATTTTCAACATCTTCCTTGCCTCTTCAAGTTCACCAGCCTTGGAAAGGCCAGTAATGATTGTATTGAAGATCCCATGTCCAGGAGGTGGGCCTGATTCCATCATCTGGAAAAGCAACTTCTGTGCCCCCTCAAATTCTCTCATCCTACATAATCCCACAAAGACAGAAGAAAATGGTTTGATGGCATATGTTCGTTCTTTCTCGGGAAAATCGTCCAGCATCTTCAAAGCCAAATGGATACATTCTTTCTCTTCTTCTTCAACGGCTTCATATTGAGAGGGAGAATGGGTCTCCTTTGCAAGAGTCTGAACCTCACTCATCATTTTGTTTATTTTACACAGCGAGCTTATTAAGAAATTTAAAGACCGTGAGGTATCCATCTTCCTCTCTTTCGCCCACAGATAGACATTATGAGCGTCTTTTGGTCTATTTCCTTTGCAAAGAAGAGAAATAATCTCCCCAACTTTATCACTTTCTTGCAATTTATCTGCACTTACCATCTTTTCACACACAGAGCAGGCCCAATCAAACAACTTCCGCCTACAAAGAGCACTAATAGTGAAATAATAGGTATCTGCATCTGGGACACAACCAAAGTCCTCAAACTTGTTGAAAACCTCAAAGGCGACTTTCCCTTTACCCAACCTCGAAAACAAGGACAGCAACTCATTGAGAGTTTCAGTACTAACAATCCCCAAGTCCTTCCCTCCAGCATACTTCACCAGATCCCACAAGGCATAAGAATTTCTAGCAATTAATTCCTTGCTTATGGCTCCAACAAGGGCATCTATAACCTTTTTAGTTACCAAATCTTCATTTTTCTTGAAACCCCATTGGATAAACTCAATTAAACTCTCTCCCGGAACTAAAGGGGTTTCAAGCACCCTCAAAACAAAATCTTCATTCAATACCAAATCCAGACCTTCAAGACAAGATTCTAAAGACTTGTCACTACCACTACTCTGAAGCAAAGACAATAAATCTTCCAATTTCTGTACCATATCCTCTATTGCATCAGTGTTATTCGGAACGTCAGAAACAGAAACGTTATCATCTTCACCCTCCACAACATCAAATTTTTCAATTTCTCCCACAGACTCACTACTAAAATCTAAACTTGAATCCACAGACCAAACACCAGCATTGCCATCATCAAAGCCATTATCGTTAGCCCCAAAAAGATTTTCATCCAAACCATTTCCAGAATCAACAATGGGTTTCTCAGTGAAAAGTTCGTCCTCTTCAGGGTATGGGTCTGACGAATAAAATCTCGGGTTCCGATCAAAACGCGATTGAAAAGAAACCCGTGAAGTGAAATGCGATAATTGGGAGTAATGATAACAAGAAGCAGCTAAAGGAGGCAGCAAACTCTCATGATAAGACTGGAGTACCTGGGGATTACGAGCGTGGTGCTGCGGAGCTCGAAATTTAGATGCGGAACCGAGAAAAGCTTTCCGCGCTAGCCTCATTGATCGCCACATTTCTCTTCTCCGAAGAAAGAATGACTGACGAGGAACGGCTGTTTGTTTGGGTTTGAAGTAGCGATGCTTCAAAAGCCCTAATTGACGAACTCGGGGTTTTTGGGTTTTTTCACAAAACAAACTGCCGGTGAGCTGTTGTTTACTGTGTGTGTGTGTGTGTGTGTGTGTGTGAAAAATGAAATATGGCACGAGGAATTGGGTCGGGTTATTTGGTTCCCGGGTTTCTTGCAAAAATGATGATTTCTCTCTTACATCTGCCCCTAATTAAGAAAAAATTCATATGGAATATCACTCACCCATCGGAAAATAATTCCAATTTAGTACTATTATATACATTCTCGAGTACTATAACCCTTTTCTTTTTTTACAACAAATTAATTAAACATTTTTGGATTGAAGGAGCTTTTTGTGGGCAAAATTAGGGAACAAAAAGGAACTTTTTTAAGATTCGCAGAATAAATTTTGCAACATTTTGTTATAAAAAAAGGCAACATAGATAGGTCTACCGTCTACTTGCTTCAATTTAACCATCATCATAGATGACATAAAATATGCAAAATCAAGGTCACCAGCTGGGAAAAATGGAGCCACACACTAGCAATTGGAATGTCTTGTCTGGTTTCTAAATATACAGATGACAGAAGAAGAAATATCATGAACCCTAAGTCCCTAACTAATCCGCTATTCGCTCAAATTTAAAACTGCCTTCGTCTAATACAGCCATGTGCTTTCTTTTCTTTGAATATTTAGTTGAACCGTGCTCATCAAACTGAGCAGCTGTACGCGCCCTCAATTCCTCTAAGCTTTCACCTTCTTTCGCTCTCTCCAAAACCTATACATGAAAAAGCACAACGAGACGAATTAAACACTGACGCCGTGTATCATCACATGTTTAAACAAGTGAGAAGCGACATACCAGATGACGACCGTAGAGATGTGTGTTGGAAAGAGCTTGAAGGGCATTCTTTGCTTCTTGCTTTGTAACATACTCCACAAAAGCAAAACCTCTGTGGTTCCCAAATCTCATTGGCAACCTCAAACTCTTTACCTGTATGAGCACATTATCTTAAGCATAAGAAACAGCCAGAGGCAGCCTGCCAGATTTTGACTAAACACCACCACATCGGTGAAAGTCCCTCAGAGCCATTACATTATTAACCCTTTCTAATAAAAAGCAAAAACCCCAAGAAAGAAAAAAAAAAATCCCAAAAAGATTCACTAGTCAAGCGGGTCGTTGTGTTCTACAAAGACCCATCCGCTACTTTCACTTAGCAGTTGCAGGAACTGGGTAACAGCAACTAAGTAACTACTAGATAGCAAAATCTGTTTGTTTTTGATAAATTGCTCATCTAAAGATAACGATACAAGTAAAATAAGAATCACATTAATGGAAATGTTTGCACAACTCGCAAATACATTGCAAACAAGGCAACGGTTGATAATTACCTGCCCAAACGGACTAAATAATTGCCGAAGTTCTTTCTCAGTTGCCTCAAAAGCTACATTTCTGACAATTAATTTGGTTGAACTTCTATCATCCTCTGCTTTCTTAGTCACTTTTTCATCTTTCTTACCATGACAAAGTTGCAAAATGAGAGCATGCCCATCTAAAACAGTTCCCTGAGGAAAGGAACATAAAACAAAATGAGAAGCAGAAACCTAACGGTAACAGAAAATATGTCAAGAGGACTGGAAACAGGAAACCATGCCTGCAAATCCCTGCAGAGACTCGTTGCCGTATCCACAGAATCGAATTCTATGAAACCAAAACCCATTGAAACATGTTTTCCATTCTTCAAGTGTTTCTTCACCTGAAAACAAACAAGACAAAGATCAAGAACAATTTGATAGACTGAGAGCTTTTAGAAATATCAAAGGCGCAGCATATCTCACCCGGACACTCAGTAGTTTCCCTTGTTTCATTTGATCAGCAAAATGTTTTCTCAAACTTTCATCAGACGTCTTGAAATTCAGATTCTTTACGTACAAAGATCTTGACTGCACAACATAGAAAAAGTGGCAAACAAAATGAGCCCGACGGAAATAAAAGTACATGTCTCTTGCCGCAGAACTGCAGAAAGCCAAAAACCTTGTAAAATCATATAGGACAACAATATGTTTTTAATCAACTAAAAAATATCGTTTTTAATGTGCTTGTTCAGTCAACTGCACTTATATGTCATCTGTATCCTAAAGGGCCCTAACAGTGAGATTGGAAAATTCTGAAGACACTCCATTTTGCGTGCACACGATAGGCCTTGCTAATTCCAAAACCCTATTACGTCTTAACGTATGAATGTCACGACAACTACTACTATACTTTTTATTTAATCAAGTAGGATTCAAAGTAGAAGATATAGTTACTACTTGTGTACACCGAAGCATGAGTTGGTCAAAAGCAATTTACTTCTTTAATCCCCAAGAGAACATAGCAGAAGATACAGTTATCAATCAATGCAATGGTGTGAAGTAAACTGAGGTGTGCCAGCAGGATATTTGCAGGAGCAGGTGACCAGTTTCCTTTGTAACAGTTATATAAAATGGCATAAAGCTCAATTTCACTGTTATGGAAGCTCAATTTTTTCAAAAAAAAAAAAAGCATCTCATATTCCCCCAAAAACAAACAACAAAAAAACCGACAGCCATCAAACATGTGATAAGAGGGAAAAGGAATTTACAACAAAACAAGACAGAGGAGCCAGTAAAATACAGAAATGCGAGTGAAATCAAATGCCATCAGAGAAAGGAGAATTTCAATGATATCAAAATCATAAAATAATACCTCAACTCTGTCAGGATCTACATCTTCATCAGCTGTCCGAGTTTGTTCCTCTAGTAAGACTCTCTTCAAATCATGTTGGCCAACTGCGACATCATCTGAATTATCCACAGATGATGGATTGGGACTAAGAATACTCCCAGGTGCCCATTCCAAGTAAAGTGGAGCATCCCTGATTACCACAATAAAACATTAATAACCAACTAGGCTTTAATTTTCCAGATGACAATTTATGCAATTAATATAAATCCATAAAACGAAGGATAATCAAATCTTGTAAATGATATTGCCACACCTTCAAAGTGCAGAAAGAAACAATGAGATACAATCACACAAGTCAAGGTAAATGCTTTAATAATGCTCCCCTGTAAGTTGCCAATTAGCTATGATACATAAATCTTTTACAGATTTAAAGTAGATTCAATTTCTTTTTCATTTCTTTTTAAAAAGTAGTCCATAAGGTTCCCTCGAAAGGAGGTTGGGGGGTGGGTGGGGCGACGGTGAAAGAAGGAAAAAGAAGTTTGCCAATAAAGTTAGGGTACACGCGAATGAAGAGTTGGTTCAGTGGTAAAACCACCCTTGCTCCAAGACGAGGTCATGAGTTCAATCCCCCACTCCAACAAAAAGTGAGGGGTTGACTCTCACCTTGCCATTTGGCACCTCTAGGGGCTTTGTTATGGCTAACCCATTAATGAACCCCTGATTTCGCACCCGAGCTTGTCACCTCGGGCTTGCCTAGGGTGGTTTACCTCCCACTGTGGTTTGCAGGCTATTGTAGTGGGCGTGGGTTTACCCATCTCTGGTGGGGTTCCCAGCGTTACCAAAAAAAAAAAAAGTTGGGATACACAACCAAAGTGGCACGTCCCCAGTACACTGGCAATTAAGTAAGATAAACATCCAAACTTCTGGAGGCATGATTCGCTAACAATTTATGCCATTCCAACATGATGCCAAATATTGGAAAATCAAGGAAAATCAACTGATAGGATTTTAGGTGGTCACAGACAGAAGTCCTTTACAAACTCAACCATGACAGCAACAATAACAAAGCATCATCGCACTATGAGGGTAAAGGCTCAACACAAAGTTAAAGCCTGCAACAGTTAGAAATCGGCTGCAAAGACAATTATGTCTTGATAGGTGACTGGAGGATACAAGACAGGAAAACGAAAACAATTACAAAGAAACCCATAGGAAAAGATAAAAGGAAAGAAGTGCTGTAAGTATGAACAATAGCATCACCATGCACAACAGGCTAACAGATCAAAGAAAAGCAACTGCGCAGAAAACTATATCTTAGTTCCGATATATTAATATTGATAGCACAGAAATCCAAGAAACAGGAGACAGTAAATAATTACGTGCACTGCAATACATCTAAACTTAATTAGTTTGTCAGCACAGAAATTCTCTTTTGATAGATGTTAAACAAACAAAATGTCAACTCCTGTATTCTATCCCCATGTGTTTTTAGGCTTTTAAGACTTAAACATTTTCTACCTTCCTCAACAAAGGTTACAGCTTTATTAAGCCGGGAAAATTGCATCACACGTTAAACCCAATTGAATCAAGGTTTGTTTGTGATTCGGAATTCAAGAACCTCAAACTAGTTCAATCTTCTACTGGAACCTTCTCAATGCCAACTAAGAATGCCACAAAAGGTATCAAACTAAAATAGAAGAAAAAAAGAAAAAGAAGCTCACACCCCATCTTGTTACACATCAATAACCAAGAAAGAAACAATAAACTGCAAGTTAACAGTGACTAATATCCTGTCTGAATATTAATCTACCCACCAGTACGGTGCTACATTCTATTAATGTATCACATCTTAACATGAAATGTAGCACTTCCATGTAACTGCAAGTCAAACAAATGTAAAGCATCGACTTCTAGTACAGCTCCTTATATTTATCAATAGAACACATTGTATTTCTGCTCCATTTACTTAGGAATCGAGAGTATTTTAGCAAAAGCTAAGTGGCCTAAAACGACAAGATGAGGCCTTTAAAATGCATGCACATCACGGAGGAATTTGTTAGGAATTACTACACCAAGACAAAAGGTAATACCAGTTAAGAAAATAGCATTATACACGTGAACAGAGTTACCACATGAATGTGACACATAAACACCGGATGCAAAAGTTCACATGATTAAGTGCAACTTCTCATAGCTGAACAGCAATCACGTGAACTAAGGAGAGAACTTACTTGTACCGTTTGTATGCTAAACCCCTGAAAGCTGCACGTGCTTCAGCTGCTTCAAGAAACACAACCTGGAGATTTATTATAATAATTCACTAACTAAATTAGTCAATTAATTAGAATTCACCAATGAGGTCCTAGATATACATAGAGACTTTGATCAACTCAAATTCCTTCCACAATTAACAAACAACATGCATGAGAAAAGATCTATCAACTAACAAAAATTACTTTCCAAACCCTGTATTGAGCTTTAGATGGCATATTGCAAAAGTCCACATGTATAGATATGAATAAATTTATTAATATTGGTACACACTGTCTGAGTATCTATAAAAATTGAACAGGTAAGAAAACAACACATGATACACCTTATAAGGACACAATAGCAGGCCCCGATTCTTCATAGGTTATGCCAAGAGTTCAAGTCACAAAAGCATCATACTGTGTATAAAGTATATCAAATCAAAATACACATAAGTCCAGCAAAAAGCCTAACAAAAAGTAAAACGCGAACAACAAACTAACATGGTGAAATTAGCAAAATAATGAGCATAAAAAGGGCCCGTAAAAGAAATGAAGAATGTAAGACTTGTGATATTAGCAAAAAGTGGTCAATTATGAAAATTTTCCACATTGTTTACACAGCAAACACAACTAGCACGATAATATGGCATACTATCCACTGCCTTCTAAAAAGAAAAGGTATCCTTTTCACCCCAGGGTATGATGCAGAAATAGGAATTAGTTGATGCAGGAAAGAAGCGTACCACAGCCAAGGTCTTCGATGGAGGAAGAATTATTTTTTCCAAGCTCCCAAATTTCCCAAACATATTAGCTAGATCAGTTTCAGTTGACCCGTATGACAAATTCTTCACTAATATAACATGGTTGCTTCTTTTCATACCCTCGGTTTTCCCAGCAGCAAAATCCTCCAATGAAGCTACATTGACTCCAGCATTGCGAAGAGCCTTTTTGGTCTCCTCAATCACTTGGGTTTCTCCCAGTGCAATGCGCACTGCAAGATCATCAGCCTCCTTATCCAAAAGGTCACTCTTACTTATTCCAAATCTTCGAGCAATGTTTTCTACAATCTTTCATTTAAAAACCAGAGCAAAAAGACAATTTTTCAAGATGAAGCCCAAAAATAATAACAATAATAATGACGATAATGCTCAACAGCAATGACAACTAACTGTATCTGGACGCATGAAAAGACTATTCCACGATCTTGTGTTCCCAGTTGCTTCAGATGCCTTTTTTGCATCCAGCTTCTTTTGCTTTAATGTTTTTGAGGGTAATTGGTCAGATGTATTGTTCCTGAAGGATCAACATAACAAAACAAACCTGTGAAATTAATCTTTTTAGATAGAAATCAAAAGTTAAAAGCAAAATTAAACTGCAAACTTACTCTGTGCCGGAAGGATTATTTTGTTTTGCCACCATGACATGCAATAATCTTCCTTGAAATATTGAATTATCCAGCTCCTCTAAAGCCCTGAAATAGGGAACCAGTGAATTAGTTACCTGCATACACACATAACATACACAACCTCACGCCTTTTTGCAAAGAAATTACAATTATAATGTTACACAGTTATAATGTTCCGCAATATTTGCGCGTAGAAGATGATAATCCATTATATAAAATGCTCACATATTTCCTAGAAACTGTATGAAAGTTGCAGAGGTAAAAGCACCAACAGTATGTAGCAGATGATTAATGAGAAAAGATTGAATACACATCTCAAACTACCAAAGAGATAAAAATGTTTCTTATCCAGCGAAAGAATTTCAAGTGCAGCTCCTGTAAACATGGACCATCAATGATTGAACTGTGGAGTTGTAACACTTAGATGTTTGAAGTCTCCAAATAATTATTAACTATCAAATCACATGTAATATTGGAATACAAATGTGATGGCAGACGCACACTTAAAACATTAAGAATATAGCTTGTTTTATGTGTGAGTACCTGCTAGCAGATTCTGGAAGCACATATTGAACATAAGCAATACCCCTGGATCTTTTTGTCTCCTTATCCACAACAATATGGACCTGCGAGACACTGCCGCACGTGCGAAAATATTCTTCCAGCTCCTCTTCACTATGTAAAAGTAAAAGAAAAAAAAAGTAAGTACAAAATGATTCATGGATAGCTATCCAATACGCAACTCGCGGTTGTGAGAGTGAAATGTAAGGAGAAAACAACTAGTGCTACGTACGTTGTAGTATAAGGCAAATTACGAACAAATAGTCGGCCGGTCTCTAAAGCTTCTTTTCCATATTCCCTTGTTAATGATGGCTCCTTATCCAGTTCCTCCTTATCAGGTTCTTCTAATGATTCATATTTGGATTTTTCGAGTGAAACATCATCCTTACCCTTTGCATCATGCATGCCATCAGTTTCCATATCAGCAAAATTATTGCCACCATCATCACTGTCAGCATCCTTATCACTCTCACCTTCATCTTCACCTTCTGAATCCGACCAAGCTTGCTTCACTCTACTTTTGAAATAATCCATATCAGATATCACTTCATCATGAACCAAATCTTGACGTTTGTCTGAACTCTCAGATGACGCTTGTTCCTCTTTGTTATCTTTGTTTAACTCCAGCACCATGTTATTATTTGATTTCTCATCTTCTCGTTTCACATTACTCCGTTCAGCTACATCCCCTCTTCTCACAGCTGCTGTGGTAGCTGTCAGGGTATCATTAGCCCACAACTTCGTCTTACTTCGAGGTTGCATGACCTGAAGGAATTCTTCAAGTTGAGGATCGTCACTTTTATCATCTTTCTTCTTCTCCTTCTTGGACTTTTTAGGCTTCAAAATTTCTGAATCTGGCAAATCATTTCCCTGCTCAGAAGGTTTCTCTTCTTTCTCTTTTGAGTATCGACTCCATGGACGTGGAATTTCTGGATCTCCAACTTTACGAGCAATCTAGCTATATGCAATACAACCCAGTTTCAGAAACATACAGAGAATACTTTCTCAAATATCATGACATAATCAATCAGCTCTACTTACATATCTATAAAAGATGACTATAAAACAATCAGAACAACTAATATAACTTATCAATGACATATATCCACTTACCATTACTATGACTAGAAATCAAGCTAAACTCTTTCACAGGTGAAAATTTAGTACAGTGCTAACTTGCACTAGAAAGAAATCATTGCAGTAATCAAGCATTTGTCCCCTCTTATCCTAAAAGAAGTTTCTACTGTTCTCGAGCAATTATAGTTGCATGAAGAGCATCCATCGAATCATTTACCAACATAGGATCCATAAAGTTCTAATCCTAACAACTTCTCGAAACAAAAATATCAGTATCAATGTTTAGCATCAAATAACAGTTCCATATTACATATGACCAACAGAACAATTAATAAAAAGGCGATGGGAGGAGAAAAAACAGCTGCAAGGACACACGCACCTCGCAAGTAATTCTACAGGTATCCATGAACGACTTGTGGAAAAACCTGATAGCCTCGTTAGCTTCTTCCTCCGACCGAAATCCAACAAACCCAAATTGTCTACTTTTTCCATCTCTGCACATAAGAACATGGAATTTTGAGTTTGACAAGAAATGAAAACTCCAAATGCATAGCATAATTAAAACATTCATCCAACAGGACCTCGTCCGCATGAGCTTGGCATCAGTAACTTCGCCCTTTTGGGAGAAAAATTCTCTAAGACGATCCTCAGCAACGTACTTGGGCAAATTCTTCACGCATATACGAGACCTGTTGTCAGCAAAATCGACAAGAAATTGATCAAAATGTAATCTTCCGGGGACCATTAAAACGAGTTAAGGAGTTCAAAAATTGAGTCGTTGGAAATATACATTGTTTCGATCTTCACTGAGATGCAGCTCTTCCTGTGGGCGTGCCTGTAATAGAGAATAAGCAAATTGGGAGGGAAGAACAATTAGGGTTTTTGAAGAGGTTTAGGGTTTTAATTTATCCCCTGTTATTTCAGAGCAAAAGAGCAAAAAGAAACGTAATGACGGCGTTGGTGGTGGCACAGACACTAAGAATCGTCGCCGATATATTTTTTCACTTTTTTTAAGCCAAAAAAAAAAATATTCTGTTATAAAATAAACCAAAACAATAAGAGACATAGAACAGTAGAGAAAAAACAAATATGACGAGAACAAGAAAGAATTCATCTGTGTCTTATTAATGATAAGATCTAACTAACTAAATATTACTTCCTCCATTTTTTTTATATACTCCCTCCATTCCAATATAAGTGTTCTCCTACACTTTGCACATAGTTTATGAAACTCTTAAATAGAGTAATAAAATTACTTGAATATCCTCAACCAATCTCATTATAAAATTGTCCATCAATAACATCAACTCTTTTGAGGGTAATTTTGGAAACTTTTGATGAAAAGTGCATTGAAATGTGAGAACGACACTTATTTTAGAATTTCTCCATTTTGCTAAAACGACACTTATTTTGGAATGGAGGGAGTATCTTTCTAGAGAAATCATCAAAACCAAGAACACATTAATTAATGTAGTTAAAATACAAAAATATCTTTATTTATTGTCTATACAATTCATCACAAACTAATAAAAATTTATTATAAATACAGTTTCATTTCCAATACAAGGATAATATTGGTAAAATTGGTCAAATATGCATCGACTTGTGAAAACGACATATATTTAAAAAAATTAATCAAATCTTAAAACGACATATATTTCAAAATGGAGGGAGTATCTCTAAATAGTTGATTCCTTGTATAACTCTTCTAACTTGTGGACATCCACATTAAATATTGATAACACTCCCCTTGGATGTCCATTCCGTGGGATAATGCCTCGTTAAAACCTTTACTAGAAAAAATCCAGTAGGATAAAAATTTAATAAAGGAAAAGGAGTACATTCCCGAATATGACGCTGCCTCGTTAAAAACTTGTCAGGAAAACTCATTGGGACAAAACCTCAATCAAGGAAAAAAGAATACAGCGTGGGGTTACTCCCTCTGTTGAGTATATCACTTATAATCTTCTCGTCGCATGCTAAAATGTTGGCTAATTTCACCAATGTTGAAATCCATAGTAGATAAATTTGCTACACGGTCACTTCAACTTCCCAGGCAGACGATGATCTTCATATGCCATGTTTAATCTTGAATAATTTAGAATAACAGAGATCCATATCTATTGTATCTCAAATGTATCAATATTTGTAATATTTCAATGTCTTCAGTAATTGATAAAATAAACCGATACTTTATAATATGGTACTTCATGACCAAATTGGTTTACATGATTATTAGAAGGTCTATAAAGTATCGATCTACACGCATATCAAGACTTTAATTAAGTATTCTCAACAGGAATTAAATGTATATATACTAAGGTCAAACTAAGACCGAAATTTTACTCAAAACTTTTCATTTTTCTTGCTTCAGGCAAGTAGCAACCTTTTGAACTTCTTTTGAAGTCTTAATAACTACGACGAACTCTTCAGGAGTTATATTGGCTTTGAGGCTATTCGAACTCCATAATAATTTTCGATAATATTCAGTCTTTTTCAGACTCTTCAAGAGTTTAGTGTTAATTGTGTTCTAAACACAAATGTATATAATGAACACATATCAATATCATATAAATATGATCATATAGACATATAGCAATCACAAACAAATAAACATAATATATTCTCATAAAACAAATATAAAGACGAGTGCACAAAGAAAACATTCAAAAAATATGCACCTATGTATTTGTCTTTAAAAAATGAAGACACTCGTACTTGCGCAAGTTTTTCGAATTAATTTCTCAATAATCGGAACCATGTCCTTTATTTAATCTTTCGGGGATTTCACGTAGACAATCAAAATCTTAAGTATCAAATTTCAAGTGTCAAGTGATCACTATTTTCAATGGACGCATTTTTATTTCTTCATTTGCTGCCATATGTAGCAAATAACGGAAGAATTTTTCCATCCACCACAAGAGAATATATCTCCTCATGATTAACATCCGGGCTTTGGAAAAACTTGTGCAACAAGTAGATTGCTCTCCATCTTTCGCACTGTCATTCAACAATATTAAGCCGGTATATTATTTGCCATAATTTTTACAGTTTCAAGCAACTTCAATTCTATTTACACATCCTCTGGTGTGTGTATGGCGTCTTTTAATTCATTATAGGCAAAAAGTTTATTGTCTACACTAACAACATGCTTTCATTTTTATGATCCTCATTTTATTCATTTTACTAACTGTTGCAGTATAAGCAAATTTTATGTCAACATTTTATTGCTGATCGATTCCATCTTTCTTTAGTATTGAGATCTCACAATCATTAAGTTTCCCAAATACCTATATTCTTCTTCTGTAAGTTTATTTACTATAGAGGGGAACTATTCGATTTCCAAACTCTCCTAGAATTTTATCACTCGTATTTAGCATCTAAATAGATATAAACATTCTTATTACGAGAATTTTTATTATTGGAATCGACGGTTCTACCACTTATCAAATGACCATTCAATTAAATAATAGTAATAGATAATTCTTCAGGATGTAACTAGATGGTACCCGCACGATGTGCGGGATAGATAAATTATGTATAAAATCAAACATAATAAAAATCAAAGAAATATTTTATATTTTAATAAATTGATATATAATATAAAAACACTAAGTTAAATAATGTTACATTAGAAGTAACTTTTATGCGCTAATTATTTACAAAAAAAAATAAATAGATCCATATATTGATCTACGTGTTAAATATATTTCATTTTCGTGAATCATCAACATATATTTCGCCATGTTGTCCCTAAGAAAACATCAAACATTGAAATCATTAATTAAGATTGGCAAAGAAACTCACCGTGATGTGCATTCGAAAATCCTTGCTACAGAAAATATTTGCCCATAATTTCTAAAAGTTAGAAGCGAAAAACTTTTGACACAAAAAAATAATGATTATTAAAAAAAACATAAATCCTAAAAAAAAGAGAGAAGAAAAAGAAGAAAAGATTCCGGTATAAACTAGGATTGCAACCTAGTTAAGTTTTATAAGCACACTTTATATATACATAATAATTTTATTCACATGATTAATGCGATTGGAGTGATTATAGGCATATGTTTATATTTGATTTTGTTAAAATAAAGTAAATGGATATTCGTGTATGCAATTATGACAGATGATATATCTCTAAAAAATATTATCTACAATTTTTTTAATTATTTCAAATTTCAAAATAATATTAATATTGTTTAATGATCAAACCAATATGTAATGGTATTATTCAATCCAGTCAGAAAATATTTTCAAATCAATCAGTTTTAATGTTGAATTAAAGAATCATTGATGATTTTGTATTTATTATTTTCGAATTTCAAAAAAAATATTAATACTGTTTAATGATCAAACCAATATTAATGGCATTTTCAAGCCAATCAGAAATTTTTTTTAAATCAATCAGCTTTAATGTTGAATTAAAGAATCATTGATGATTTGTATTTATTATTTTTGAATTTTAAATAATCATTAATATTGTTTAATGATTAAATCAAGACGTAATATTATTATTCAAGCCAATCGGGTAATCTTTTTCAAATCAATCTTATTTAATGTTGAGATTTTAAAAATTTTCCGTTTTCTTTTTCATTTTAGGGAATGTAAAATAGAAATTTTACACACAATTAATTGATATACTTTAATTAAGAATTGATAACAATTTATTAATTAAAAATTTAAAGGACTGTTAGTGTAATTATTTTAAATATTTTTTGTAACAACCTATAAGGAAATGACACATAGGATTTTGTCCTATGTGTCAACGGGGGGAGAAGTTTGATTTCCTCTCTCTGGTTTCTCTCTTAGTATAATACTATAGATTTTTGAATTTTAAATAATCATTAATATTGTTTAATGATTAAATCAAGACGTAATATTATTATTCAAGCCAATTGGGTAATCTTTTTCAAATCAATCTTATTTAATGTTGAGATTTTAAAAATTTTCCGTTTTCTTTTTCATTTTAGGGAATGTAAAATAGAAAGTTTACACATAATTAATTGATATACTTTAATTAAGAATTGATAAAAATTTATTAACAGAAAATTTAAAGGACTGTTAGTGTAATTATTGTAAATATTTTTTGTAACAACCTATAAGGAAATGACACATAGGATTTTATCATATGTGTCAACGGGAGGAGAAGTTTGATTTCCTCTCTCTGGTTTCTCTCTTAGTATAATATACTACTAGATGCTTTGCCCGGGGACGTCCTCACACCTAATAAATTGATATGTAAATAATCAAAACTGATTAGGAATGAATTTAGTTTTTTATGAAGATAATTGATTGACCAAAAATTAATTTTTTTGAAAGTCCTAAATAAGTGGAGAAGGAAAGTTCCATTCACTGTCAAATTCAAAATTTGAATGAACATGGCCATTTGATCTCTTCGTTAATATTATAAATATCTTTTTTGTTTTTAAAAGGGGGTGACACGTTGCAGAATAGTTTATGCAATATGGTGCATTTGGAGCCAAAATATTTTATAAAAAATTACCACATCAACATCATGTTTTCTGCTTTAATAGGGTAAAAGAGATAGATATGAAAATTTTAAACTCTAACAGCCCTTGGTTAGTCAAATATCTGATCTTAAACATTATCTTTTGAACTTCAGGTTCATGTTATCGAGGATCTAAAGAGATAATGATGTCGTCCATTCGATTAATGAATCGGCTGTTTTCACTTTTCCCCCTGATGTTAAGATAACTAATTCGTCAAACTGATAGTCAGCCAATCAAGTAGTAAATAAATCTCCTTTTTGAGTAACTAACTCGTCAAACAGACAATGAGCCAAACGAATAGTAAAACCCAACATCAATAACCCTAAAGGCTGGAGGTTCAAAATCCAGCATGTATTCTTAACTTCTTCCAGGGTCTCTATCTTTGTGTGCATTATGGTGGAACAATTAATATATATCTGCACATCTAAATTTTGAAGATGGATATCTATGGCTTCTGACCAAGGACCAACTTATGGGGGAATTTTTGTAAT